GTGATTCTACTATATTTACCAGCTTATTCTGTTCCTCAGATTTTTAATTCACTTGACTTTTAGATTCACTCGTTGGTAGATACATATTTGTTGTTCATAATTTCTACCTTTACTTTTTTCTTTTTCCCCCCTCTTTTAAAAGAACACCTTTAAGCATTTAATATAATACTGGTTTGGTGGTGATGTACTCCTTTAGCTTTTTCTGATCTGTGAAGCTCTTTATCTGCCCTTCAATTCTGAATGATAACTTTGCTGGGTAAAGTAATCTTGGTTGTAGGTTCTTGGCATTCATCACTTTGAATATTTCTTGCCACTCCCATCTGGCCTGTATAGTTTCTGTTGAGAAATCAGCTGATAATCATATGGGTGCTCCCTTATAGGTAAGTAACTGTTTTTCTCTTGCTGCTTGTAAGATTCTCTCTTTGTCTTTTGCTCTTGGCATTTTAATTATGAAGTGTCTTGGTGTGGTCCTCTTTGGATTCCTTTTGTTTGGGGTTCTGTGTGCTTCCTGGACTTGTAAGTCTATTTCTTTCACCAGGTGGGGGATGTTTTCGCTCATTATTTCTTCAAATAGGTTTTCAGTGTCTTGCTCTCTCTCTTCTTCTGGCACCCCCATAATTCTGATGTTGGTACGCTTGAAGTTGTCCCAGAGGCTCCTTACACTATCTTCAACTTTCTGGATTCTCTTCTCTTCTTGCTTCTCTGGAACAATGTCCTTTGCCTCTTTGTATTCCAAATCTTTGACTTGATTCTTGCATTCTTCTAGTCTGTTGTTGGGTCTCTGTATAATATTTTTTATTTAGTCAGTGTATGTTTAATTTCTAGTTGGTTTAATTTCTTTTTCATATCCTCGAGGATCTCATTAAATTTATTAGCCTTTTCTAGGAAATTCTTTAAAAACCTTATAACCGTGGTTTTGAACTCTATATCTAGTCTTTTGTTCTCCTCCATTTCTTTTGTTTGAGATCTTCTTCCTTTTCTCGGCATTTTCACTGCTTATGCAAAAGCAGCTGTGTGGAGCCTGGGCGGGTTTGTAGAATGTGCGGGGCAGGGCCTCAGGGTAGGGCAGAGTCTCAGGACACCACTAGGTTGGGCGTGGCAAACAGCAATAGCTGCCGTGAGCTGTCTCTGCCTTTCCACTTTCCAAGTTCCCATGTCCCTGTGCTCCAGCGCAGTAAACAATGATTTCTGTGCACACCTCTGAAAAAAAAGTCACCCTCACTTTTGGACCAGATAGCAGACAGACCAGCTTCTCCACGTAGGCGCCTAGGTCCCCCGTGTGACCCCAGAATCTGGATTTCAAAGTGATTGGGAGCTTGTTTCCCTTCTGGTTGAAAAAAAGCCGTGTGCCTAGTCGCCCACCACCAGCCCGATTCCTATGCCTAGGCTTTTCAGCTTTTCAGTGCTTGTGCTCCTTTCTCTTTCAGCCAGCTTTCCCATGGTTTTGGGTGATAGACGTTTTGTCTTTTAGTTGTAGTTTTGAAAATGTTGTGCGAGGTGGCAGATTAGTTGTTTAACTATGCCGTCATCTTGGTTTTTTTTCCTTTTTTTTTTTTTAAACCAATGCAGCTCAAACTTGCTCCCAATGTTCCAGTAGCCAGGCCAACATGGCTATGTGGACACACCTTTGCTAGTTGCTGTCAGGCTTCAGGGCTGGGGCAGGGAGCATGCCAGGTGTTGCTGGAAACAAATCAGCCCTCCTCTCTACATAACAGGCGTCTTTTCTTTTTTTTTTCTTCTTTTTTTTTAAATCAATCTTTATTGTTCATATTATTACAAAGGTTCCTCATTTCTTCCCGCTTCCACCAGTTTCCCACCCCAGCCTCTGTCCCCTCCCCACACCCCATTGTCCTCATGCATAGGTGCACAGTTTATGTTCAGTATCTTCCTCCCTCTTCTACAATGAACTGCTATTATTGTTCATCAGGTTTTTCAATCTCTTTTTTGTTCTTGTTGCTGTTTTTTTTAATTAATAAACTTTTACACTTCTAAGAATAAATTTTAAAATCTAATAATTTTAAACCTTGTTTTTTTTCTGCTCTGGGAATTGAGAGCAAAATTGTTTACATGTAAACTTGCCCTTAGGCTATCAAAAGGTGTAGCCATTCAAGTGTAAATGGACACGTTGTTTAAATATAGCTGCTGGTTGGATTACCTGTTCTGGGTGGGAAGGGCTTGTCATTCCCTTTCTCCATTAAAATTAAGGTGTTAGCTTTAAAACCTCTTTTTGGCAAGAGACCTTAAACTTTCAGAACTTTAAATTTTTCGGATACTAAATCAGTTACTTAGCATTTTCTCAAATCAATAATACCTCCATATGCCCAAGGATACACTTCACATAAAAGACATTTCGAAATAGATCAACCAACCTCATCCAGGCCCCACACAAGGCACTCACAGATCAACACCCCAGCGCTATACTAACTCAACACATCCAGATCTAAGCCTTCCTCATTTGATTCACCAGACCCTCAAGTTCCTCCAAAAGTTTCCAGCCATGTCTGAGAGGCAGCCTTGGGGCGAGGGCAGGCGAGGAGTGAGCTGTTTCGGGCCTGGCTGCTCTGGGCCTGGCCTCTGTTGCTTTGATCCGTTCCACAACCAGCTGCTCCGGGTCTGGCCACTGCCGATCCCAACCTGGCTGCTCCAGGCGTGGCTGCTGCTGCTCTGGGCCTGGCCGCACCTGACCCGGCTGGTCTGGGCCTGGCTGCTCCAGGCCCGGCCTCTCTGGGCCATAGCAGGCGTCTTTTTATTATAAAATGCAAAGCAGCGCTCTTTTCCATTACCCCCATCCCCAGCCCCCCTCACCCAGGGACATAGGAAGGGTCTGGGAGGATATTTACTCTAGGCTCTTTGATTTCTCTTATGTAACTGAGCCCAGTGACAGCAGTTTCTCTGAATGCAATGCCAGCCTGCTCAAGATTAGCTGCACCTTGAAGACAAGAGGCAGAGCTGACCAGGGGCTTTGACCAAGCCTGAGCGTGTGGTTCACAGCAACCTCAGCAGGTAGACTACTCCTGAAAACTCCAGACTCCTCCCAGCTCTGTAACCCAGCTCCCTGCACTCCCTTCTGCACCCACAGGCACCACCAGAGTGGTGTGCACCAAGGCTTTGTGTCCAGATGCCAGGATTGCAGGTTCACGGTGCTCTGCCTCCTCCTGGCACTTTGAGTCATAAGCGCCTGCAGAGACCTTTCCACTCCATATTGATCTTTGGTCACTGTTGATGTTTTCTGGACTCTTTGGTCCAGGGACAGCCAGGAACTTTGCCTCTGACCAATGCAGTACCTGCAGCTTGCCAGGGGTACCCCCATCCCCGGAAAAGTGTGGGGACATGGACAGCCTGGCTGAAAGACCATTGGGTGGTAGAGGGATTGTCTAGTCACCCCACCCTCAATTGGGGTGGGAGAGGCTGATCAGGGGTGGGACAAGAGGAGGGGCTTGGCAGGGTAGCCATCTTGTGATGGCATTATGGCTTAAGGATCTATTTGCATATTACCTCTTTATTATATAGGATAATAAAAGCCCAGCAACCATTATGGTGTAATGACCAGAACAACCAGAACAACTGTGGCCCCTGCCGGCCCTACTCCCCCAACAGGCCCCAGCATCCCAATCAGGGGCAGGGCTAGTTGGCAAACTGCCTGAGGCCCCTGACTGGCATGCCCTCCAGCGGGGACCCCCATCTGGGCAGGCTGGCCGGACCCCAGCGGAGCCCCAGGCCTCTGGTAGAAATATAAAACCCTATCCCGCCACTACTCCAACCCAACCCGCCAAAGGCTCCTGAAACTACAAAATTAGATCACTGATTCAGGCTAGCAGTTCAAAGTGTAAAACCTCATTCACACATAAGGAATTCGCACCTTTCTCCTTCCCCTTGGACTCCGCATCTCAGAGGAGGCATGCACTTTATGGATGTGCAAATGGAAGCTCAGGTAAGTCACTCTTTTGGGGTCCTGTGGCACATCCAAGCAGACAAACTGATCACCAAAAGCCAAGCACCAGACTCTCCCTTCCTCATTCCACAGCCTCAGCTCCAGACTCACTCCCCGTGGCAGGATACAAGGAGAGCCACCTCGAATCTTCGCAGAGACAAGAATGCTCAGGAGGCCAAGATAATAGAAACCTAAGGACCCAAATGTTGGGGCCCATGCTGCCAGGGCCCCGCTCAGCACAAAGCCAAGGAGAGCTCGCACAAAGTTCTGGTACAATTCCTAACCGGTCATGACCTGCCATCCCAGGGCATCCAGGGCTGCAACACATGCTGTAGTGTGTAATTGCGGGGAGTGCTCTGGAGGTGAAAGGCTCACTTGGGACTCTGCTTACACAGCCTTCTCTGAGGCGTTCAGCCCCAGGTGTTCCAGCAAAGCCTCTTTCCTGGAGCGGGATCTCAGGGGGAAGGCCAGGGGAGGGGTGGCCAGCTATAGCCTCCACTGTGGCTGTTTGCACACATGTAATTAGCTCTAATTATCCTGAACTTTCAGTTCGCCAACTTCAGGCCTGGGAGCTGCTCCCAGGGTGAACGTGCCCACGGAGCCACTGCTCTGCAGAATGAGCCCTCTCAATGGCTGGGAAGCTCTATCCCATCCACAGCACTCTGTGTCCTTTGTCTGTGTTTGCCTAAGTGTCTACACAGCTACCATGTGCTGGCTTGGGGATATATTTCTGTGTCCTTTGTTGTGTGTCTACGCTGGCCGCTGGGAAGGTTTGCGAGTACCAGGCACCAATGAAGAGAGGAGGGGTGGCAGGGTTGGGAAGAGGGGGAGGATGAACTCGTTTTCAGCTGCTAAAGAAAGAAAAGCTACTCCCTGGAGAAGAAACCTGGGTTTCACAAGATATGTGATCAGTGCTGGGGCCCTGCCAGCAGGCAAGGGAATCCCAAGGCAGGTACTGGGAATGCAGGCCACGGGGGCATAGGCTACGAAGGAGACATAACAGAACCTCAAATCATCCTGCTTGGCCCCAGAGGATGGCTGGTTAGCCAGAGATGGGTAAGATTCTTCAGGGAAGGAACAACCTAAGACAGGCACAGTCACAGAGGGGCCATCAGGAGAGAACTAGGGTGTCAACAGAAGTGGGGCACAGACCTTCACTCCCCCAACTTTGCAGGATCCTGAACCTTCACCCCTGCTGAGGGAGGTCTCTTGAACCCATGGCTGCTTAGCTTCCCATGCCCAGCTCAAATCAGGACCCAGGTAACAGAGACTTGGACGACAGCATCTGCCCTCTCACTGCAACAAGACTTGTTTGAAATATCTTGTACCAATGGTGTGGGAAACTGGGGTTTTTGATATCCAAACCCAGCCTAGCACCAAGAATGCTCAGGGCCTACTCAAGAACAGCATCAATCAGAGTGTCAGACCTCAGAGGGAAAGTAGGAAAGTGTGGGGATAAGGGAGAGAGATCAACCAAAGGACTTGTGTGCATGCATATGAGCCTAACCAGTGGTCACGGACAACAGGGGTGTGGGGGAATGTGAGGGGAGGGATTTGGGATGGCAACGGGGGGAATGGGGACAAATATGTGATACCTTAATCAATAAAGTAATTTAAAAAAATAAGAAAGAAGAGCTAGTGACCAACTCTCCAATCTGCTCAAGTCCTACATAAACATGAGCCAGGAGCAGGGGACAAGGCCAAAAATACCTGGGATTTTGGATGTAACTGCCAAACGGAGGTGTCCTAAACCGTGATCTATCTCCTCGGCCCCCTGAGCCATTTTGAACCTCAGACACCAGCATTCCTCTACAGGCAAAACTAGGTCTCAGAGAGGTTAGGAAACTCACCCTAGGCAGCTCTCCAGAGCCGCAGCACAGAATTTTGGATTCAGGCTTCAAGCTTCACTCAAAAACAAAAGGTGGCCCTTCTTTCACCTCTGCAATTTATTTCTGAAACCCATTTCTTCTACCAGTCACTTCTTCCACCTCTGAGTTTCTAAATAAATGTTCTCTTATAATGAATCTTGGCTCCTACGAGACCCCAGTGGTCTAACACCTGTTTCCTTTCTCCAAGCTACCAAAAGAACCTCTATAGGTTGTCTCATTTGTAAAGGGGATTAAAAATAACAATTACCTCTGAAAAATCAAGATGGTAGGTTAGGTGAGCAACTAATCTGCCGCCTTGCACAACATTTTCAAAACTACAACTAAAAGACAAAACGTCTATCACCCAAAACCATGGGAAAGCTGGCTGAAAGAGAAAGGAGCACAAGCACTGAAAAGCTGAAAAGCCTAGGCACAGGAATCGGGCTGGTGGTGGGCGACTAGGCACACGGCTTTTTTTCAACCAGAAGGAAAACAAGCTCCCAATCACTTTGAAATCCAGATTCTGGGGTCACACGGGGGACCTAGGCGCCTACGTGGAGAAGCTGGTCTGTCTGCTATCTGGTCCAAAAGTGAGGGTGACTTTTTTTTCAGAGGTGTGCACAGAAATCATTGTTTACTGCGCTGGAGCACAGGGACATGGGAACTTGGAAAGTGGAAAGGCAGAGACAGCTCACGGCAGCCATTGCTGTTTGCCACGCCCAACCTAGTGGTGTCCTGAGACTCTGCCCTACCCTGAGGCCCTGCCCCGCACATTCTACAAACCCGCCCAGGCTCCACACAGCTGCTTTTGCATAAGCAGTGAAAATGCCGAGAAAAGGAAGAAGATCTCAAACAAAAGAAATGGAGGAGAACAAAAGACTAGATATAGAGTTCAAAACCACGGTTATAAGGTTTTTAAAGAATTTCCTAGAAAAGGCTAATAAATTTAATGAGATCCTCGAGGATATGAAAAAGAAATTAAACCAACTAGAAATTAAACATACACTGACTAAATAAAAAATATTATACAGAGACCCAACAACAGACTAGAAGAATGCAAGAATCAAGTCAAAGATTTGGAATACAAAGAGGCAAAGGACATTGTTCCAGAGAAGCAAGAAGAGAAGAGAATCCAGAAAGTTGAAGATAGTGTAAGGAGCCTCTGGGACAACTTCAAGCGTACCAACATCAGAATTATGGGGGTGCCAGAAGAAGAGAGAGAGCAAGACACTGAAAACCTATTTGAAGAAATAATGAGCGAAAACATCCCCCACCTGGTGAAAGAAATAGACTTACAAGTCCAGGAAGCACACAGAACCCCAAACAAAAGGAATCCAAAGAGGACCACACCAAGACACTTCATAATTAAAATGCCAAGAGCAAAAGACAAAGAGAGAATCTTACAAGCAGCAAGAGAAAAACAGTTACTTACCTATAAAGGAGCACCCATACGATTGTCAGCTAATTTTTCAACAGAAACCATACCTGCCAGACAGGAATGGCAAGAAATATTCAAGGTAATGAATAGCAAGAACCTACAGCCAAAAATACTCTACCCAGCAAAGCTATCATTCAGAATCGAAGGCCAGATAAAGAGCTTTACAAATAAAATAAAAAAAGCTAAAGGAGTTCATCACCGCCAAACCAGAATTATATGAATTGGTGAAAAGGGTTCTTTAGGAAGAGGAAGAAATATAGATAAAAATTATGATCAACAAATATGCAACTATCAACAAGTGAACCTAAAAGCCAAGGGAATTAAAAAACCTGATGACCAATATTAACTGTTGAATATAATAGAATCAGAGGTATGGAAGGGGAGTGGACTGACTATTCTTGGGGAAAAGGGGAGTGGGGGTGCGGGAAGAGTCTGAACAAAAACTGTGCACCTATGGATGAGGACAATGTGGGGTGGGGAAAGGGGAGAGGGTAGGGTGGGAACCTGGTGGAGGGGAGCAATGGAGGGGGAAAAAATGAGGAACATTTGTAATAATATGAACAATAAAGATGTATTAAAATAAAAATAAAAAAAGAAACTATACAGGTCAGATGGGAGTGGCAAGAAATATTCAAAGTGATGAATGCCAAGAACCTACAACCAAGATTACTCTACCCAGCAAAGTTATCATTCAGAATTGAAGGGCAGATAAAGAGCTTCACAGATCAGAAAAAGCTAAAGGAGTACATCACCACCAAACCAGTATTATATTAAATGCTTAAAGGTGTTCTTTTAAAAGAGGGGGGGAAAAGAAAAAAGTAAAGGTAGAAATTATGAACAACAAATATATATCTACCAACGAGTGAATCTAAAAAGTCAAGTGAATTAAAAATCTGAGGAACAGAATAAGCTGGTAAATATAATAGAATCACGTGCATAGAATGGGAGGGGATTGATAATTCTCAGGGGGAAAGGGGTGTCTGTGTGGGGGGTATGGGAAGAGACTGGACAAAAATCATATACCTATGGAGGAGGACGAGGGGTAGGGGAGAAGAGGTAAGGGCAGAGGGTGGAGTGGGGAACAGGTGGAGGGGAGATATTGTGGGCGTGGGAGAAACAATTATAATACTCTGAACAATAAAGATTTATTTAAAAAAATAATAACAATTACCTCATGGGCTGTTCAAGAACTAACTTTAAAAACAGTATAGTAGTCCTGGCCCTGTTTGCTGGTACAACAAAAGATTGTGGGTTCAATTCCTGGTCAGGGCACATACTTAGGTTGAGGGTAAGAAAGTCATCTGGTTGATGTTTCTCTCTTCCTCTCTCTCACATCAAACAAACAAACAAACAAACAAACAAACAAAAATGTCCTTCAGTGAGGGGTGAGATGAGGATTAAAATAAGTAATAATAAAAACAGTAAAGCAACCCTGGCCTGGTAGCTCAGTTGGTAAAATCATCGTCCTTATATACCAAGTGTACAGTTCTATCTCTGGTCAAAACACTTACAAGAAAGAACCAATGAGTACTTAAATAAGCGAAATATCACATCCATGCTGGTCTCTCTCTCTCTCTCTCTCTCTCTCTCTCTCTCTCTCTCTCTCTCTCTCTCTCTCTCCCATCAATCAATAAAACAAAACCAAAAACAAACAAACAAACAAAAAACACAACAAAACCAGGAGGTGTGTGGGGACCTTACAGGGAATGCTTCCAGGTCCTCCTCTCTCTATCTGGTTTCAGATCCTTAGCCCTAGGCAACCCTGGTCCTGCATACTCAGTCTATTGCCTGCCACATCCTTCCAGCCCTTTCCTGAGGCCAGTTCTGTTCTATGCTGAACAGAACCAGAGCAAAGAGGAGAGCGAGCTCAACCCCCAGGGCCTTATTTGCAGGTGGAGGGATCAGCCTTCCCCAAGGAGGATTTCTCAGCACACTGGCTCTGCCCTGAGGGCTGAGTCCCTCCCTCAGCCTTCCAGGTTCTCTGTGCCTGTCTCATACTGTGCATCTCTCTCCCTGTTCCTTGCTCTTTGACCCTGTTTACTCTTCCCCATGTCTCACTTGCTGAGCCTTTGTCTCTGTCCCTCATTGGATCTCTGACTGTGGAGAATACCCCTGCTGCTCCACCCCCCCCCAACCCCCCCAAAGGAATGCACACCAGCAGAATCTGCCTTTTCAATAAAAAATGACAAGTGGGAAACAGAGTAAATTAAAAAGCATTAACTTAAAAACAATCCATGTTTCTGCAAATGGCAGCACTTTGGTGGAGGGAGAGAGTGGGGGGAGGAGGGGTGGTATTGGTAGGGCATCCTGGAGCCTCAGACACAAAGTATAGGGGTTTCAGTGCCTCACTATGGACCCCTCCTACTAGTCACCTGGGATGGCAGTGTCTGGGTAAGGGACTTAGTCTATACTATCCCTCACAGACCCCCACCTGATTCCGTAGACCCTTTTCCCTGTCTGGCATCTGCTGGAGGTCCCTCTTACTTCCCTAGTACCTCCAAACCCTTCTATGCTGACCCCAACTCTTCTTTTGCATCACCCCTCTCCTGCCCCACACTCACACACATTTCATCCTTTCCCTCCTCACCCCCCAGTCTTCTATTCCATACTTCTTCATGTCCTGCCTTGCCCTGCCCTGCCCCACCTCCATTCTGCCCTCCTGCCCCAGACCACTTAGCCACCTTGGCTCCAGGAGAAATGGTTAAAACAAAGCTTTCCTTGGCCAGAAGAGACTCTCCAGGGAGCTTCAGGCAGGAAGGCACTGCCAGTCCTGTACCTGCAACTGTTCTGTCCTGCCAGATGCCAGCCAGAAATTATCTCTGGAGACAGAGGGTAGCAGAAGTAGGCTGCTGACCTTTGAAGATCTTCATCAGAAGGAAACTCTTCCTTGCCCGCAAAAAAAAGTTCACCCTGCTACTTTCCTTGTCACTTTCAGCAATCTTCCTTTGCTCCTTTCCTTGGAAGTGGACGGATTGGAGCACATCTATTTATAATAATAAAAGGGTAATATGTTAGTTAGAATGGACATTTTCCAGACATCATTCCGGATGTCCTTCCTGATGAAGCCAGGGCTGGAGGGAAGCCAGTCTGGGTCCTGGGAGCCTGCAGGTAGCATGAGGGAAGCCAGCCTGGATCCCAAGTGTCTGTGGGTGGCTGGAAGGTAGCAGCCTGGGTCCTGGGTGCCTGTGGGTGGCTGGAGGAGGGAAGAAGCCAGGGTCCTGAATGCCAGAGAAAGTCAGTGCCAGCAGCCAGGGCAAGGAAGGCCTACTCTTGCATGAATTTTTGTGTATCAGGCCACTAGTCTACACTAATAAAAGAGACACATGCTAATTGACATTACCCTTGCCACACCCATCAGCCAATCAGGAGTGGGTATGCAAATTAACCTAACAAAGATGGCAGATTAACATTCATACGCAGGTGCTGAGCAGCTGGGGGTGGGACAAGATGCTTGTGTCATTGCCATGGCGATGACATAGGCATTCCGCTCCACCCCAGCCACTCTGAGTCTCTGAGTAACATGGGAAGGTGGAAAGGCAGCTCCGGGCCTGAGCAGAAAGGTGGCTCCAGCCAGAGCGAAGGTGGAAGGCCCTTACTTGCAAGGATCTTTGTGCATCAGGCCTTAGAGCACATGTGTCAAACACAAGGCCCACGGGCCAAATCCGTCCTGCCAGGCCTTGCAATGTGGCCCGCACCGCGCTGTCATCACTGCACTCCGCTGCGTTTCCATCACAATGACAGTTTATGACTGTTCAGTAAACCATTCGGCCCTCGATTTAGGCTGGATTTTAGATTTTGGCCCCTTCTCTGATTGAGTTCGACACCCCTACCCTAGAGTAATATGCAAATCAATGGAATGGCAGAACAATCAGGAAGACCACTTGACTAGTTGCTATGAGGTGCACTGACCACTTCTCAGTCCCTCCCCCCAGCTGGCAGGCTCTAATCACCTGATGGCAAATGAGGAACTGGGAGTGGATGGTGGCAGGGCTGGCTACTGGCAGCTGGGAAATATGGCCCTCATCACAGGTCAGGCCTTGGGACCATACCCACACACTAATTTTGTGCGCTGGGCCTCTAGTTGTATATATGAAAGCCTAAGCGATTGTTCAACCATTAGCTATAACATGCATTGACCACCAGAGGGTAAGGCTCAATGCACAGGTATAAACTTGGAACAGACTGATGAATCTCAGAGGGAGCAGGGAGGGGGCAGAAAGAGATTAACCAAAGATCTTATATGCGTACTAGAGGCCTGGTACATGGATTCATGCACCTCAGCCTGGCCTGTGGGGACTGAGCTGAAACTGCAATCTGACATCTCCCGGGGAGGCAGGGGTGTCCTGGATTGCAAAAGGGCACAGGCCAGGTTGAGGTACCTTACCAGTGCACGAATACGGGCACCTGGCCTCTAGTTTTTATACAAAATAAAAATATATATAAAACAAAAAAATATATACAATCAAAATAAAAGATGGGATGTTATGCAGAGCTTCTAATTTCAAATCCTATGTTTTTTCCACTATATAATTCACCTGTTTAACAAATATTTGTACTGAACACCAACCATTTGCCAGGCAATGTTTTAGGTCAATAAAACAGACAAGATCCTGCTCTTAAGGAACCTGTATTTTAATTGGAGGAGACAGCAAATGAAATAGTATATAATATACATTTGTTTCTCAGTTTTATTAAGAAAAATAAACCAAGTGTAAGGGAAAAAAGTGTGAGTGTAAGTTTGCTAGTCTACATGGAGCAATGAGTGGGGTGTACAGTAAAGGCAAAGGGTACAGCAAATGCAAAATCCCCAACGCAGAAGGATATGTGGCTGTCATTCCATAACTTAGATATATATATACTGTATCAAAGAACAAATGTAAGTATACTACATGGCTTTGCCTGATTAAATGCATACTTTTGACATGTTGACAGTCTCTTACAATGACTATCTTTCAAATATAAACAAATTGGGTTGTACCAGAAAATGTCTACAGCCAGAATCCATTGATTTATTTTAGACGTTTGTTAAGGGGTCATCAGAATACTGCTGATGATTTGATTAAATATCTATAAATACAATTAAATCACTTTTTAAATACTAAGAGGAGAATCAAGGAAACCTGAGTGACTTCAGGTTGAAAAAGACTGCTGAAACAGAAAGGACAGGAGGACCCCCTTTTGCAGAAAGGCTGCCAAAAGTGGGAGGAACACGAGGAACCTAACACCTGGGAGCTAGTCTAGGCCTTGACCCGCTGAACTATCTCTGTTTTCACCAGTAAAGCGAAGAGTCTGACCCGGAACCCCGCAGCCCTTTTCCTCCTTATCTGGGATTCTGCTTTGCCAGCTCTCCGCCCCGCCCACACTGCGCTCAGTCGGCGTGCGCCCCCCGTCCGCCGGAAGCCACCGGAAAAAGGGCGGGACGCGTGCGTGCTGGTCCCGCCCACTTGGCCGCAGTGGAGACTGGAGGGCCTGCGCGCGGGACCCACTGTGGCTTCCGGGAAGAGTTTTGGGTTCCGCCACGGCCCTTGCAGCAGAGGCCGTGGCGACGCCGAGGGCTGTCTCCGCGTCGTGGACGAACGCCGCCCTTCTCACCATGGGCGAGCCCGGTTTGGAGCTGTCGTCCATGATCCCCGCCCTGCGGGAGCTGGGCAGGTAAGTGCCCCCACCGCGGCCTCCCTGTAGCGTGTCTGTGCTCCAGGGCCGAGCAGCGCCTCCCTCGGACGGAGGTGGGGAACTCCGTCCGAGGAGAGAGAGGCGGGCCGGGGCCGAGCCTGGGCCAGGGCGCACTCGCCGCCACTCTTCACTTCCCGTGCCTTACATGTGGGACTTGCCCCAGTCTCTAGGATTTATGATTGCTCGGTTTTTAGCTCTACATTTTGACCCAGAACTATCCATGGAAGAAAAATCATTAGTTCTGATTCTGTGCAAGTAAGAGCAATTGCTAAGAAAGGCAGTTTGGTTCCTTCTTTGAAGCGAAAGCGTAGGCCATTCTGAAGATGGGATCCCTTTTGCTTTGACCACTGGCCCCCAACCCGTTATTTCAGTAAGAGAGCCCGGGCTCTGGCATGGCGTTCACGAAGTGCACAGAATGTTGCTGGAAGTTGAAAATAATTTAATATAGTTTCAGTTGCCAAAACTTGTTTTCTTAAAACCCAAGAGTAAATTATAAACCAGTCGTCCGGAAAGAGGGGAAGATTTTTGTCCCTCTTTCCCACAGCTCTAGGAGGCAGGGCTTACCTCTCCCTCCCCCTCCTCCTCTCTTCCCCTCCCTCTTAGTAAATTGAACAAGAGATATTTGGAAACTTAGTACATAAAGTCAAAATTGATATTAAGCCATGAAATATTTAAATCCTTTTCATTTTTCAGTGCAGTTTTTTTTTTAATCTCCATTGGTTGACCATACAAGGACATTTAGTCTTCCTCAATTATATAAATACTTGAGGCCCTATGCACGAAATTTGTCCAAGGGGTTCAGCTCTCGGCTTCATCCAGAAGGTTGTTTGGACAGTTGTTCTGCTGTTTGGTCAATTAGCATCTTAGTTCCAGTGCATGAAATATGTGTGCTGGTAGGGTCCCTAAGCCTGGCCTATCAGGGCCTTCTGGCAGCCTGCTGGGGCCTTCCTTAGTTCTGTGCCGCCTCCTGGTGGTCAGCACATGTCATAGCGAATGATCAAACTCCAGAGGGGACACTTTGCATGTTAGTCATTTTATATATATATATATATATATATATATATATATATATATATATATATATATATATATATATATAAAGGAGCTATACTTGTCTTAACTGAATCATCTTATTTTTGTGCGTGTAAATTTTTTCACTTTGTATGAGTACTGAAGGCATACTTGGTATTAACATTTTGTAAACTAACATCTGCCTTTCTAAAAGAAGATGAGTACAAGTGCTCATTTTGGGAAGGTGATGTATAGATTCAT